AGATCCAAAATGAGTCTCGTTCCTCCGGTCCATTTGGTAACCAGGAAGTAACGTGAGTAAAACCCTGTGTTTTCCTCTCCGTTGGGAACTTTGGAGATTACCTCTTTTATCAGAAGTTCCTGGACTTCTGCACTTAGGGATGAGATTTGGTCTGGTGATGACAGGACTGTCTCTAAAATTCTTCCGAACGGAGGGGGTCAGGTTGCAAATTGCAACGTGTAACCCTTGCTTAACATTCTGGCCATCCACCTGTCTAGCGAGCATGTTTTTAGTAACGTTCGTGGAGTGGACGCGCGTTTTAAGTGATGCGTCATGTTTTGTACGGATGTCATCCAGTCCGCCGCCTCGACCGCTGTCATGTGTCACGGGAATGTTTTCCGTGTGATCCAAGGCCAGGCTTAATCGAAAGGGCTCTGAACGCGCCCGTGTGCTGCGTTCGGAGCGCGGATCCACCTTCATGTCTAGGTGAGCCGGTGTGTGTTGAGGGGAAGCATGTGGCAGCTGATGACGCCGTGGGGCCGCGTGTTTGACGCCACTGTGGTGAAACGCGTGTCGCTCCTGCCGCGAGCGGTGTCCTGTGCTGGGTTTGCTTTGAGATCTCGCATCTATGCCGCCATGAGCGGGCGAGCGCGACTTCATCTACGCCGTGCCGTTTGAGTGAAGGCTGCGAGCCCCACGGGAGCACACGTTTTCTCTGGTGGGACGCGCGCCGCTCTCGCTGGAAGCGAGGTTCGTCACTGGGGTCGTTCAGCTGTCTCACGCTTATGCTGCAATGAGCGGCCGAGCGCTGAGACGCGGTGGGCGAACTCTGCCCGCGCCGCGGCGGCACGCGTTTGCTTCAGTGCGGCATGTGCCGCTCTCGCTGAGAGTGAGGTCCTCCACCGACCCGACCTGCGGTCCTACATTTATGCCGTTGTGGGCCGGTGAACGCCGGGGAGCTGTGTGTGCACAATCATCAACGCCGTTTGGGTGAAGGCTGTTTGCGTCGCGCTAGTGCGCGTTTGACACCACTTGGGTGAGGATCGTGCAGCTCTGGTTGACATCGAGTTATTTTGCTTACCATTGTGTCGTGTGTGCGTCTCGTCTTGGAGCAACGGTGAGTTTAAAAAAACCTTTATGGACACCGGCTCGTTATGTTGGAGGATGTGTGCACAGTCGCTGTGAGTTCATCCGAGCTTACAGACTGGCTAAAACCAGATCCTTGATCACTGAATGATGTTTTATTCAACATTTGTGTCATATTTACACACACCCTCCACAGACCGTCATTTTGAATCTTTTCCCCCGTGAACTCTGGGATTTGTTGGCCCAGGGCGCCGTCTGCTGGGGATCTCTGGGAAAAACGTTGGACACTCTGTTGCCAGAATGTAGAGGGCCGGTCTCTGATGGGCGAGGCTGAAGCTCAGCGAGACGGCTGTGGAATGTCTTGCCACCGGCTCATTTCGTGTGGAGGGTGTGAGAGGGAGCCACTGTCAGGTCATCTGAGCTGACAGACAGGCTAAAAATAGACACTTTCAACATTAAATGATGTTTTACTCCAAACTCGTGTCACCTTCACACACATCCTCCGCCAAAACTGTCATTTGCTCTGTCATTTGTTGTCCTAGAGCGCCATCTGTTGGCGGTCTCAGGGAAACGCTGAAAACTCCATCCTCCGGCTGCGATGCGGGCCGGCAGACAGCAAAGAGGCGCACCAGTTGGGGATGATGTCAGCTGCCCTGCAGACGGAGCGTACGTCTCCTCCCACCTCTGAATGTGTAGGCCAACAGCGTACGCGGGACAGAGGCGTGGGACGCTGGTCCACCTGGACATCTTGCTCCGAGAAAAGTCTCCATCAGGCTCGGCTCCAAGGGACACTGAGGGAATTTCCAGTCGGTGAAACCCCTGCTCTGGTGATGGACGCGGACTGTGGAAACCGACCCCCCAATCTACCAGGAAGCCAGCTGTGGCCTCGTCCCATAGGACGTCCTGTTGGGAACCGAGGCCAGATGGGATAAGGACGACGAGCCAGGGTGGAGCCCAGAAAAAAAACCTTCCCGCCGGATCATCCGAACTAGCGGATAAGGCGCGGGACGTAAAAAGGGGTCCCTTCATGTCAGCCACTGCTGGGTTATGCCGGGCAACCCCAGAGGGCGCCGTCGGCCGGGAGCAGTGTGATCGCCGATGCGAAACGAGGTAGGATGAGGTGAGCATTCGCTCAACCCCCCTCCACCGACACTACGCTCTCCAGGAGGGAATGAGCAGCGGGGCTGCAGCTGACGCCGCCTGTCCCGGAGGAACCATCCGATTCGCTCCGAGGGTCGTCGATAAGAGGAAAATTACAAGATGGCGTTGTCCAGCGTGTAGCGACCTGTCACTGAGAAATACTCCTCGGAGCTTACCTTGAAACAAGACTGCTCGTCAGCTTCTCCTCGGGGAGGAGAGCTCACCGGGACGACCGGAGGTCGACGTGATGGGCCAAGCATTATTAACAAAGGTTGGTCATCTAAACAACTTTCCTTCTTCATTCTTCCGATAGTGCTATTAGCTTGCTGAAAAAAAATTGGAGCCGATTACCCGCTCTTAACGTAATTTATACGGACCGGGTGGGGCCCACACAGCAGGCGGGCGTGGACTAAATTTTTCAGTGCAATGCTTCGCATAATGGGATAAAATCCATCAGCGACAGCCTTAAAGGGCGAAGCCTATATGAAATAGAACTAACTTTACAGAGGACCAGATTTAACTTTTTTAGATTTTTCTACCTGGATTATTGAGCATGCATCAGGATAACTTTACAGCGGTTTAATGTAGTGCCATGTTTGATTAAGTTCCTTGTATTGTAGGTTGTGACGGAGCTTCCTCCTTTCGATACAGAAGCTCTGCAGACATTGCACGTTGCTGTCTTGTTTTGTGGTGTTTCTAGTGTAAAATACTTCCACACAGCGGACATGTTTAGATGAAAAGTTGGTTAGCTGTTAGCCACAGTGCTGCTAACTCAGTCCTCACGTTGTAGCTGGCTGCAAACTATGAACTGGATTTCCTGAATGTGAGGCAGGTCTTATTACTCTGGGTTCATGAGACACGCCGCCGTTCAGGAAATCCATTTCATAATTTGAAGCAAACGTGCAGAGCAATAGCCAGGAAATCACATGTGGAGATGTTTCAGCAGACACAGACATGCATCATGAATCAGAAATCTCTGCAGGTTGGATCGGAAAAATCCGATACGTAAATTACGCTGGTATCGGACGGCAATACCAATACCGGATCGGCCCCATCCCTATCAACAGTGCAATGAAATGCTCAGGATGAGAAGAACAATCTCGACTCTCCAAAAAAAGAGCAACAACAAATACCAACGCATGCAACAAAAATTCAAAAACAAGGTGCCAAATGTGAAAAAGAAATAAATCTACAGCATCATGGTCCTATTGGCAGAGTGGTTCTGATGACAGTGAGGTTATCTTAGCAACATGGTCCCGTTGGCACCATGTTACTGTTAGCGGCGTGGTCTTGTTAGCGTTAACAGGTCTTGTTAGCAGCATGATGATAAAAAGGACCGCAACAGCTGCCTCCCAGACTGCCCTCCAGAACCGGGTCCGGCAGACGGAGAACATCCAAGGTTTCCTCGCTGAACCAAATGGATCCGTGGAGTTTGGTCTATGCAGGCAGATGGAGGATCATGGAGACAGCCGCCATGACAGGCCTGAGACAGAGACTGGAAGGACTGAACCACGATGGCAGGATGGCACGATGGCACGATGGCAAAGCGGTGACACAGAAAACTCCACAAGTGTGTCGCGGTCATACCCGTACTGTGGAAGTGCATTGTAGGAGCAAAAAAAAGGCAAAATAAAAACAACACCAAAAAAGATTCAGTCGAAGCAGAGCTCTCGTCAGTGCTACCTTTCTGCTGCGCACGTGTCCTCTAACATCGTGTCATGCCGTGGGCGACCAGGTGGCCACAGGCACTGTGTTGACAACCCCTGCTCTATACTATAAGAAGAGGGACTATAGCTTGTTACAAGCCTGTCTCTTACAGCATGAGACTGCATTAGTTCCTACAGTACGGTGGGCTCGCACATCTGGAAAGGCACCATCATTGAATAAAAGTATGAAGAGCTATTCATTAAATTTAGTTTGCTAACGGGTAAATACTCCATGGTCAAGTGCTTCTTAGCAGCCGGCCCTAGTCAAGATTTAATGTGAGTTTTCTTGAACAGAGTCTCTCTCTTTTCAACTCTCCGACAAGTTGAAGAGCCTGGGCAACAGATGTGTGCTCTGCCTCTCCCATCCCACCAGCTGAAACTTGTAACTCCTTCAGAGTGCTCATAGGGGTCTTGGTGGTCTCGCTCACTGTTCTGCTATGTATATGGTCACTCATATCATAATTACAGAACTATTCGCCCTATTAACAGTCACTCAGGTTGTGAGGACGATCTGCTCTTGGTAGATTTACACATGTTCCATAATTCTATCATTTTTTGATGATGGATTTAACAGAACTCCTGGGATGTTTAGGGCCTTGGAAATGGCCTAATTATTTCCAATAATATTTTCTCTAAGTTGAATTAGGAAAGTCACTTTAAAGGAACTGAATATTTATGCAATCATTGTATTACTCTGCATTTGTTTTTGACATTTCTCTATAGAAATTATATTTCTATGTAATATTACAGGGTTTTTCATCAGTCAATTTATACTGACGGTGACTGATTTATGACAACAAAAAAGCATAAAAGTTCAAAGTTCAAAACATTTTAAAGTCTCGAACTGTCATGCAAGGTTCCACCATTAAAGCAACGCTTTTGCATGTCTGAGTTTTGATCTTAAACTTAAAAATGTGTTTGTCAGTAATCCCCCCCACCCCCACCCCCACCCCCGTTTATCCGAGCCAGAAAAAAAAAAAAGGAAAGAAAATGTGCCTTCTTTTTACTTTTAAGGATTTGTAGGATTCTTGGAAACATTTTTATTACTGGGTAAATGTTCAGATGCATGACTGCTACAAGTCAACTTGCCTCTCCAGCAGGTCCTTGGGTTTCTCCCACTGAGAGACCTCAGTTTTACAGTTGTAGTAATACTTCTTGCCAGAGGAGCTGATGTGTTCTGTCCAATCATCTGCTGGGTCCTGTTGTTCAGAGAAACAGCATTAAAAAAACCTGCAGTTACAATGAGGCAGCTAATTTGTATCCATTAAGCTTCATTCAAGACTTCTGATAAAAAAATTGCTTTAATCATCTGAGAAATACTTCTAATTTGAGGACAATGTTAAATGTCACCTGGAGATGATTATTCAAGCTCTTATTTCTTCTAGTTTAGATTATTATAATTCCCTTTTTACTTGTTTTAACAAATCTGATGTCGCTTGTCTCCAGTTGGTCCAGAATGCTGCTGCGAGGCTTTTAACAGGAACTAGAAGATTTCACATTACGCAGGTATTATCTTCTCTTCATTGGCTGCCTGTTGAATTTAGAATTAATTTTAAAAATTTTAGGTTCGACTTTTAGAGCTTTAAATGGACAGGCCCTCCAGTACACCACTGAAATGTTGACTCCTTATTCTCTAACCCGCACTCTTTATTTGCATTTTGCAGAGAGAAATAAGTATTTGATCCCTCTGGCAAACAAATGGTAAATGGACTGTACTTGTATAGCGCCTTTCTATCTTATTTCAAGACACTCAAAGCGCTTTACAACAATCTGTGCCTCATTTACCCATTCATACAGCTCTATACTAGATCTCTACAAAGCTAATTGAACAAATCATTCTAAAGAGACTAATCAGAGCTTTAGGACGCATTCATACACTGATGGGACACACATCAGAGGCTATGAGGAGTTCAGTGTCTTGCCCAGGGACACTTCAGCACGTGACTGCTGGTGGATTCAAACCCCCAACTCTAGCATTGGGGGACGACTGCTCTAACCACTCAGCCACAGCCGCCCAAGACTTAATACTTGGTGGCAAAACCCTTGTTGGCAAGCACAGCAGTCAGATGTCTTTTGTAGTTGATGATGAGGTGTGCACACTTGTCAGGAGGAATTTTGGTCCACTCCTCTTTGCAGGTCATCTCTAAAGATTTTGAAGCTCCCGCTTTGCAACTCGGAGCTTCAGCTACCTCCATAGGTTTTCAATTGGATTAAGTTCTGGAGACTGGCTAAGCCACTCCATGACCTTAATGTGCTTCTTTTTGAGCCACTCCTTTGTTGCCTTGGCTGTATGTTTTGGGTCATTGTCGTGCTGGAAGACCCTGCCATGACCCATTTTCAATGTCCTGGTGGAAGGAAGGAGGTTGTCACTCAGGATTTTACAGTACATGGCTCCATCCATTCTCCCATTGATGTGGTGAAGTAGTCTTGTGCCCTTAGCAAAGAAAATCCCCCAAAACATAATGTTTCCACCTCCATGCTTGACAGTGGGGATGGTATTCTTTGGGTCATAGTCAGCATTACTCTTCCTCCAAACATGGCGTGTTGAGTTAATGCCAAAGAGCTTAATTTTTGTCTTATCTGAACACAGCACCTTCTCCCAATCACTCTCATAATCATCCAGGTGTTCATTGGCAAACTTCAGATGTGCCTGCACATGTGTCTTCTTGAGCAGGGGGACCTTGTGAGCACTGTAGGATTTTAGTCCATGTGTTACCAATGGTTTTCTTGACTGTGGACCCAGCTGCCTTGAGATCATTAACAAGTTCCCCCATGTAGTTCTAGGCTGATCTCTCACCTTCCTCATGATCAAGGATACCCCACGAGGTGAGATTTTGCATGGAGCCCTAGGTCGATGTCGATTGACAGTCATTTTGTATTTCTTCCATTTTCTTACTATTTCACCAACAGTTGTCTCCTTCTCACCCAGCGTCTTACTTAAGGGTTTGTAGCCCATTCCAGCCTTGTGCAGGTCTATGATCTTGTCCCTGACATCCTTAGACAGCTCTTTGGTCATGCCCATGTTGTAGAGGTTAGAGTCTGACTGAATAATTGAGTATGTGGACACGAGTCTTTTATACAGGTGACAATTTAAAACAGCTGTCTTTAATACAGGTAACAAGTTGATTAGGAGCGTCTAACTGGTCTGTAGGAACCAGAACTCTTAATGGTTGGTAGAGAATCAAATACTTAATTCTTTCTACAAAATGCAAATAAATTTATGTAATTTATACAATGTGATTTTCTGGATTTTATCTTTGATAGTCTATCTCTCACTGTTAAAATTAGCCTACCCTTAAAATTATAGACTTTATGTTTGTGTCAGTGGGCAAACTTACAAAATCAGCAAGGGATCAAATAATTTTTTCCTTCACTGTTTATATATACACACATTTTTTTTTAATTCAAACTTTTATTAAGGAACAACACAAAAAACGTACATGCTTCATCAGTTTACAAAGTATAGATACATATTTTACAAATCTCTTTCAATTTGCTGTATAAATTTATGCAGTTTACATCTTCATGTAATTACAGTATTCAACATCTGGTATCTAATATACCTTTTTCTTTTTTCTTTCCGTTTTCTAAAACAAACAGAATTTGAATTTAACAATTTATAACAACAATACTGAGTAGCTAAAAAACAGTGGGTGTCACATAATTTTCATTTGTTGGTTTCAGATCTGGACCCATGACCCAAAATGGAAGAAGCGGGCAAAAGATAATGGATGGATGGGTTTCAGATCTGATGTGCAAGAAAGTCCACCATAGTTTCCAACAATCCTCGAATTTATCCTTTTCCAGTCTCAATGCGAAATGTAAGTTCCACCATCTGACGAATATCGTGAATCACATTTATCCAGTCTTGTAGTGTGGGTGAATTATCAGTCAAGAGTGATTGCTTTTTTTCTGGCAGTTAGCATAATATTCAGCATATATGTAATGTAAAACCCTTTTACATTGCCTGGTCGCTTGTTCAGAAACATATTTTCTAGATTTAAGGGGATATTGGTCCATATAACATTATTAAAGCTTTGCTTAATTTTACTCCAGTAAGAAAACAATTTAGGGCACTCCAAAAGATAAGACAGTGCCCAATATACAGTAATCCCTTGTTTACCGAAGGGGATCCATATTCGGAAGCCCCGCAATAAGTGAAAAACCACAAAATAGGAATAGTAGTACACAGAGTAAGTATTAGTTTATTTTGGTATCTATCTATCACATATATGCTGAATATTATGCTAACTGCCAGAAAAAAAGCAATCAC